AGTTCACACTGTATTAAACTGGCTATAGAAGGTAGTTGGCAAAAATTTTATTGATAGGTAGCTTCTTTCAATGTAATCCATTAAGATAGTATGTTAAATACTTAGATTTTATATTGTCAGGAGGTAGGATGTCAGACTCATCAAGACTTCACATTTGATCAGCATTTGGTTCACTCTTGCTGACAACAGGTAATGCAAATGAAACTTTGCTCTAAAGAGCATTTCCATTCTTGCCTGACTCCTGGGGCAGCTTAGGGAGAACTGAGCGGTCTGATACTCTTAGGACAAGTCTACAATTAAAATGCTGCAGCGGCAGAGCTGCACCGGTGCCGTAGTGCTTCAGTGAAGATTCGACTGCGCTGACAAGAAAGCTAATTCAGCTCCATGAGCGGCAGTAGCTGTGTCGGTGGCAGAAACCCTGCCATCGACCTAGTGCTGTCTATCCTGGGGGCTAGGTCAGTACAGTCAAACCTCGCAATAACACGCCCCGCGATAATGTGAATTTGGATATAACGCGATCATAAGTTGGCTCCCCTTTAAGGCCGTGATACTGTTCATGTTTTGCCGGAATACTGTTTTTTACGACACTTATAAATAAACTGCATTCTTCCGGTCTTATAGGATAAGTGACTCCTGGCCATTGCAGGCCCATTGCACTCAGTTCTCGGGTTGTACACGTGTATGGTGTTTGCCTATGAGCTTGTTATTAATTTCCTATATTTTACTATTATGGATACGCCAGTTCGCAAACACAAGTCGTTTTCTGCCCAAGAGAAATTGTACGCCCTGGATCAATTAAAGAAGGGCAAACAAACTCAGCTTGCTAGAGATCTAGGAATTAGCGAGTCCACTCTGCAAGGGTGGAAAAAAGAAGAAAAGCTCCATAGCCTACCCTGTATTCTTGAAGCAGAAACTGGTTTACAGGGTAAAAAGGTCAAGTTTGCTAATGACGAAAGCCTAGATTCAGCCTTGTACCAATGGTTTGTCCAGGCTTGCTCAGAAGGAGTTCCCATTTCTGGCCCTATTCTGAAAGCTCAAGCAGAGAAATTTGATCGCCTTATCAATGGAAATGAATCCAAATTTAAGGCGAGTAACGGCTGGCTGGACAGATTCAAGAAAAGGCACACTATAAGCCAAGTTCTTGTGTCTGGGGAAATCCACTCAGCTGATAAAGAGGCTGCTGATTCCTACCCAATTGAGCTTAAAAAAGCTTTAAGCAGAGGAAGGACCGAGTCACTCTTGTTTTGCGTCAACAAGTCTGACAGCCACAAAGTCAGACCTCTGATGATGGGAAAAGCGAGGTCTCCCAGATGTTTTCATCATGTTAATATGAAGGCCCTTCCCTTTGAATACACCAACAGCAAGAATGCATGGATGAATAGCTGCATATTTAAAGACTGATTCCATAAAACTTCCGTGCCAGCTGTTTGGGCTCATTTGCAAAAACTCAAGCAGGAGGAAAAACCTCTCCTCCTGCTGGATAATTGCCCTGCCCACCCCCCCAGCGGAAGATCTCGTCAGTCATGACGGCAAGATTAAAGTCTCTTATCTCCCAAAGAACACTACATCAGAAATCCAGCCACTGGACCAAGGCATAATATTGGTATTTAAGCAAAACTATCGTCACGAAATGATCAAGCGGATGGTAGCAGATAACAACTCCTCCGTCAACACATCACTGGCGTCCCTCAACTTGAAAGAAGTCTGTCGCTTCAGCGGGAAAGCCTGGGATGCTATCTCTGCACATTGCATTGAACAATGCTGGATAAAGGGTCTTGGTCCAGCTTTTCTGTCCTCTACACACGATGATGGTAACGACGACGAGCCTGAATTTACGAGATTCATTGAAGACGACGTACGTTTAGCCGAAGAAGCACTCGGAGAATACGAGCTCAGTCCTCATGATCTCCTCAACTGGTTTTCAGCAGATGACATCTGCCCCATATATGAACACATCTCAGATGACAAAATGGTTGCAAATGTCAGCAGGAAGAATGAAGCTGCACCACCAGAGCCTGAACCCAGTGGCGCTAATGATGACGACAATGATGGCACCTCAACTCCCCCACCAAAAGTGTCCGAGGCAGTAAAACACCTAGAAGCCATTTTGAGGTGGCTGGAAACTCAAGATGTGGACAGCGTCAAACTCCTCCAACTCAGAAGCATTCTTGACTTTGCTAGAAGCCAACAGTCCGTGGCAAATAAGCAGACCACACTAGTATTTTTTTTTTTTTTTTAAGTGATGAAATTTAAAATTATGAAGTCATGCGACCAGATTGACTTTGCACTCTGCGCAATGATCAGTATAGTCGATATCACGTTTCTTTCATGTAGATGTAATTAAATTACTACTTTTGTGTTTAAAACACGCTGGGATAACCGTTGGGTTTTTTACAAGACTTAAACTGACGGGCTTGAAATGGTAAATTTTCATAACCCGGCTATAAAGCGACCCCACATTTATCGCTATGAAATTTTTTGGACCCCAATTATCACGATATAGCAGGGTTTCACTGTATAACTGCATTGCTCAGGGGTGTGGATTTTTTTACACCTTTGAGTGACGTAGTTATGCTGATGTAAGTTTAGAGTGTAGATCTATCCGGAGATCCCTACCCACTGCAGACATGAGGAAAGGGGCTACTAGAATGAATGTGCATACACACTCTTTTCTTTCCAACCACCTGGGAAGAGAGGAAACTAAGTGCTCCTTGTCACTTAAGCACATCATAATAGTACTTATCATTTTTATATTGCTTTACATGTAGGTTTGTAATTACTATTGTGCTCATTTTATAGTTGGGGAAACTCAGACAGGAAAGTAAAGCTATTTGCTCAACCTGATATAGGAAATTGTTGGCAGAGCCAGGATTAGAACTCAGGACTTGATTCCACTCCCTGTACAGCACAGGACTTCACCAAGTGGATTAGAGTAATGGTCTAT